TCGGCGCGTTTCTAATTGTTGCCATGGTAACGGTACGTTTTGATCTAGCCGATTAATGCACTTGACGCGTTAGTTACAGAACATTGTCCTGCCGACTTATCACATTCCACATGGCCGAAGTTTAAGCGACGATACCACGTCCGGCCAATGTCCACCGATGTCTGCATTTATTTTTAGTATAAATAGATTGCCAATTAATAATATTTTTTCGTCTGATAAATATATATTTTACTTTGTATTTTAAAAATTATTAAAAGTATTTTTTAGAAATAAAATTATTAGTTTTCAAAAAGTGAGTTTGAAAGTCAAAACTCGTAATTGGCGCAGTTCGTAGGATAGTGGAAGAGGCCTTTATAAGATCCTTGTCGTTTTCAGGAGTTTATCCACTATCCAAATCAAGAATCCACCTCCAAAGAAAAACCAAAGCGAAGTTCACCCTAGAAAGTAAGAACAGGAAGTAACCCTAACCCAAGATTCCAGGAATGCAATATAGCATCATCTGCCTCTTGTAAGCAATATATGTCAGACTCAGACGAAGACTTAGATTTAGACATTCCTAAACGAAGTTTTAACTCATGTGCAGAAGAATTAGATTTACTACAAAAACTTTATTCCTTAAGGGTTTTAAATTCAAACCTAGACGAGACACTAACCAATACCTACTACCAAGATGGTTGTACCATTATTCGATGTCAAGAACCTGTGCATCCTCCCAAACTTCGATGGGAATCCAAACGAGTTGTACGAATTTATCAAGGTATCCACCCTACTTCTAAACCATTACTACGAACGAAGCAACTTGGCCAACATCCAGAACCAGTTTTAACTCCACAGGAAGAGCAAAAGAGATTATATTAATAGACGGTTATGAAAGCTAGGATGCTATTAAGAATACGCTCATCCAAAACTTTGGGGATAAACGTAATAAAAATACCTTAACAAGAGATCTAGTAAACATGCGACAAGGTCCAAATGAATTGCCAAATCAGTTTCAAAAGAAAATCATGTTTATTCTAAACTGAATATCCAACTACATTGAAGCACACACCCAGAATCTAGAAATAAAAAGAAAAAAACAGGAATTCTTTCGCCAACAAGCCTTAACTACCTTTTTGGCAGGACTTCGAGAACCTATTGGGTCTACAATAAGAGCAATGAGGCCAACCAACCTAACCTCAGCCATTCAATACATTCAGGAAGAAAATAATATTAGGCTTGTCCAGAAAAGCTACTATCAGAATACAACACCTCAAAATGGAAGACCAACCCACAACGTCCAAACTCCAAGGCACCATATTCACCAACAACAGCCAGCCTATACACAACAACCACAATATCAGCCTGACCCAGCAGTACTACTACCATGGCAGCAGCAAGTTTTAAAACAACCACAACCTATGGCGGCACCAATGATGAGATATATACAAACCCTCAACCTACTTTTGGACCATCATTCCAGAACTATCAAAAACCATTCTTTAATCAGCCAAGAACAGATTTGAGACCTCCAACATTTAGACCACCGCAGCAACAAAACGCTTGGTCATCAAGACCTGGCCCATCGAGACAACCCAAACCAACACCTATTGATACATGAACAACAGCAACCAATAGAAGTTGACCAATGAACCCCAGGCCCCAACAATCTCAACCAAAATTTACGTTCAAAGAACTTTATTACATTAAACAATATGACGAAAATCATTTGGAAGAAAATGGTAGCTACAACCCAGATTTTTTCTCAGAAGAACAGTCTGTATGCAAACAAGGATACCAATTTAAAGAAGAGGAAAATTTTCAAGAGGACCAAAAAGTAAACCCCAAAACATAACGAAATAACCACCGAATGCTTCCAAAGCTATGAACCATTTGTCGTCAGTTGCATTGTCAAAAATTATGCACAAAATTACAGTGCCAAAATACCTTCTTTCCCCGAGTTCTCTTCAAATAATAGTTTAAAATTTTACCTTTTTAAATTCCACAAGACATTTGATGGTCTTATAGGCTTTGACAACCTAAAACTTCTTCAAGCTCAACTGAATTTTCCAGAATCCAAATTGATAACCCAAAATTCGATCATACCCATCTAATATTACGAAACGAATAAACTTAAATTTTTTCAATCCACTTAGAACCAAATTCAATTACCCGAGTCCGACTACCTGTCAAAGAAGATCAAGGAACCATCCTTATTCCCAAACAGTACATCGATAACGCAGAAATTAGAGACACTCACTACCGCCAACTGACCAACTAGCCTGGTCAGAAATTTTAAATCCCACATCTGATCAAATCCAATTAGCCCTTTTAAAACCCGTAAACTGTCGTAAATTCAACGTCGAAGAATACCACCTTTATTCCATGGAAACATCTCTACAACAAAACTCAGAACAAGTTATCGACGATCTAATAAGAACAGATCATTTAAACGTGGAAGAGGAAGAACATATTCGTCGACTGTGCAGAAAATATTTAGATATATTTCACCGACCAGACTCTCCCCTTACATTTGTAAACGAAGTCAAACACCATATCAAGACAAAAGATGAATTACCAGTCTATACGAAGTCCTATACATATCCATATATCCACAAAGAAGAAGTCAGAAACCAAATTTCCTCCATGTTAGAAGAAATAATTATAAGATCAAGCCAATCACCATGGTCCTCACCAATATGGATCGTCTCCATAAAACCCGACTCCTCAGGTAAAATCAAATAGCGTATCTTGGTTGACTACAGAAAGGTGAATGACAAAACAATCAATGAGTGGTACCCTATACCCAACATCTCAGATATCCTGGATAACCTTGGACGGTGCCAATATTTTATCACATTGGACTTAGCAAGTGAATTCCATCAAATAGAGATAGCAGAGGAGGATATCCCAAAGACGGCTTTCAACGTAGAAAATGGGCATTACGAGTTTGTAAGAATGCCATTTGGTCTCAAAAGTACCCCTGCAACATTCCAGCGAGTCATGGACAACGGTTTAAGAGGACTGCAAGGAAAAATATGCCTGGTGTAGATGGGTAACATAATTGTATTTTCAACATCCTTGCAAGAACACATGTAAATCTGGCAAAAATATTTCAACGACTTCGAGACACCAAACTGAAAATTCAAATAAACAAATGCAAGTTTCTAAAGGAAGAAGTAAATTTCCTAGGATATGTCGTCACTCCAAGCGGGATAAAACCCAATCCTGCAAAAACTCAAGCCATCGTCAACTACCCAATTCCAAAAACAACCAAAGAGATTCGTTAATTTCTAAGCCTCGTTGGACACTATCGGAAATTTATCAAAGACTTTGCTAAGATTACAAAGCCGTTGACCAAATGTTTAAAAAAGGACTCCAAGATCGAACATACTCAAGAGTTTCTCAAGTGTTTCTCAAGTGTTTTAACACCTGCAAAAGCTTTTCGACCAACGAACCATTGCTTCAGTATCCCGATTTCACAAAGCATTTTAACCTCACAACAGTTGCAGGCAACTTTGCTATTGGAGCCATTCTATCTCACGACTCTGTTGGAAGTGACAAACCAATCGCTTACGCCTCTAGGACACTAAGTTGTTGATTCAGTTTGCTTCTTACGGTCGGGACTGTTTTTATATAGCGGTTGGACTAGATGGTCAATAACGACTATTCCGAGTTTTTTTCGCTTTTTCTAACAATGTTTCCAGTACATGATCCAGTATGTGCGCTATTGGAGATGCCATTCTGTAGATAAGGAAGTGTGTATAAAAATTACTTTTAAAATTTACCAAAACCTGAACCTCTACTAAATGTAAAAAAAAAAGTCAAAAGACAAAAGTGTTTGTGCGAAAATTTCGGAAAAAGTGCTATTCCGAATGTAAATGATTGTGTGGTAGTTTTTATTTAAACAAGCTTTTTTGCTTACCCTGTTTGATAGTAGGTGTAAAATCAAATGTATGGAATAAAGACGGTTTTAGTAATTTTGGGAACGTAACTCGCGGTCTACATACTAAAAAAGACGCTTTAAAAGAAAACTCTAGGCTATATGTAAAACAATTTATTGAAAAAGTGCATCCTAACAGACGTTTTATACAGTTACCAATTCGAGTAGTTCTTTTTCTAGGAAAACAAGAATTGGCATTTCGTTGTCATAATAAAGATAAATCTTCGGAAAATCGCAGTAATATTAAGAAACTGTTAGATTTCTATATCTCACTCAGTTCTGTAGACATTTAAGAACAATATAAAAAAATGTTGCTTGTATTTGCCGCAAATTCTAAAATAATTCAAAATGAATAAATAAACTGTATTTCTCAATATATTGACAAATATATTGAAATGGAATTAAATGATTGCATTTTTTTTCCATTCAAGTAGACGACTCAATAGATATTGCTCAAAAATCTCAATTTAGCATAATAATTAGGTATGTTAACTCTGAAAGAAAGTTAAAAAGATTTTTAGGATTCCATGATGTAAATTCTGATCGAACAGCTCAAGCATTGTTTACCCCAGTTACAAGTTGTTTAGAAAAATACGACTACAAATCAAAACTTATTGGACAATGTTATGACGGCACTAGTGTTATGTCAGGGCAAATAAATGGTTTACAATCGAAAAATAAGGAAGTAGCACCAGAGGCGGTGTTCGTTCATTGTTTGACGAACCGTCTGAATTTAGTCCTGTCTCAAAGCTGTAACAGCAGTTTGAAGTGCCGTACATTTTTTGCTAATGTGAATGTTCTGCTTTCTTTTTTTATCATTTAGCAAAAAGAACTCACGCCGCCGATGTAATCCTCAATAAGTGAATACCCACTCCAGTAGTTACAAGATGGTCATCTAATTCTAAGATTTTAAGTCTTATTCATATTAATTGGAATTCTCTAAAACAAGTTTTTATTGACATTTTAAACGACACAAATTCTGATCAGACTTTAATAAGACAGAGCCAGGGATACTAAATATGTTTAATGACTTTGAATTTGTTCTTCTAGTTATCATTTTTAAGGAATTTTTTTCCTTTAGCGATGTACTTTTTGATGTATTGCAGAAACGTTCTCTAGATATAAATAACTGTGCATCTCAAATTAAAAATGCGCAGAATCAACGAAACGCTAAAAGAAGTAAAGTTATTTTTGCAAATATAATTGATTCAGTTTCCCTAAGAACAGAACTGCCCACCGTGATGGGCGCATAAGACAAGTCTTGACAAGAGATTAACTAGTTCAAAAATATAAAATTCTGCACTATGAAATCCTGGACACAATTTTAGAACAAATCAACACTCGTTTTCAGGATACTGATTGATCAAATACAATTTGAACACTCACGACATCAAACACCTCTACACATAAAAAACAGCGCCCATCTCTAACAAATATTCATTAAAGGAAAACAGATAGGCTATCCACAATGCATGTCAATCTTTACAGGAACAAAGAATAGACTATTCACAATACACAACTAAGTAAAATGGGTTGCATACCAACCAGACCAATCAAATTCAAATAAAAGTCAGTTAGTAAATGGAGGGGGAATCATGTAACAAATATTTTTAGCGGTAAAAGAATGATCAGATAGCCATTAGCACTCAAGCTGGTAACATCTCATCTCAAATTTGAAATCACCAACTTTTATGTACATTCACGTTTATATGTCTTAACACGTTCTTATTGTTGAAATAAACAAGCTGTGCTTATGTTTAAAAGTGTTTTACTACAGTCAAGCTGTAGCACCTGGTAAGCTGTCCATTTCACGGAAAAGAAGTATTCATAAGGTTAGCTCAAAATTCCAATAGCTAGGCCGCCAAACTAAAGAGGCGATAAGGTAAAGTAAAATACCCCCTCATCGCCCCGACACTGATAAGCTTCAGTTCGTAACATTAATGGACACTTCCAAATTTTCTGTATATTCGCAGAGCTTTCCTACAGAACCACTAAATAATTTAGTTCAAATGTATCCTAGTCAATTAAATTACATAAAAAGGTTAAAAAATGAGTTACAGTTTATTTAAAGTGATGAAAACTTTATGAATATTGACATTGATAAATTGTTGGAAAAACTATTTGAGAATCGTGATATTTTCAAAGAAGCTTATAAGGTATATTGCTTAATCTTAACTATTCCATCCACTAGTGTTTCAGTCTAACGTAGTTTTTCTTGTTTAAAACGAATTAAAATATGGGGGTTATGATTGACAACCTGTGTTATTTTTTAACAGGTCTGTTATTTTATAAACACACAGAAATAACTACCTGTTCACAAATAACATGTCTGTTAAAAATAACATAACTTGTCCATCATAACCCCGAATATCTACGAAATACTATAGCTTTGTTCGGCTTACAAAAGAGTACTGTTTAAAATTGTTATAATCATGCGCATTTAAATCTACGTTTTCGGATTTCTCCAAATCTAGTCCTAGGACACTATATGATTGACTGTTTCGTGTATAATTTAGTGCGCAACTAATTTCACACAGTTCTGAATCGTTCTGAAACGTTATAAAATTGGTAAGCCGAATAAAGCTAATAACAGAAGATCGGCTTACCAATTTAGCAAAAATTTCAATTGAAAAGACACTCTTAAAAGAACTTGTACGATCAGAGCCATTTTTGGATAAATAATTTTAAAAGTTTAAAGGATAGGAGAATCGACCTTATGTACAAAAAAATAAAAAAAGTCGAATTTTTTTGTGTTTTATTTTCACTTACATTCAGACCTACGAGCCGCCACTGCCTTGAACTAAAATCAAAAGTCTTCGATTTTTCGCTCAAGGACGACTCAGCAAGTCCGACTCAGCTGAGTTCTGTTTATAAATACGGACCTTAAAATTCACGTCCGTGTAAAGGTAAACACAAATAAACTAGTCACAACGAAATAGGTATCACTTATTTAAATTGTTAAAACTCCAAAAAGAGACATTAAATTTTTTGGTCTTATAGTTTAGGTATGTGTCTTTAAGAGTGTGTAAGTTTAAATTTTTAAACATTATCGTAAATTTAATAAAGTTAAAAATAAAGCAAATTGATAACAACACTTGTTTATTAATATCAAAAAATTTAAAAATAAACAAAAACTAATAATGTGTATGCCCTTCTCTGGCTCTAGGCATAGATTCTATTAGTTGACGAATCGTTCCTTGAGAAATAATGTTCCATTCCTCCTGAAGTTGTACTGCTAACACCTGTAGATTATTTGGCAGTTCTCGATCCCGCAATCTTCTTCCCATGATGATCCAAAGATGTTCAATGGGGTTTAAGTCAGGGCTGTTGGCTGGCCACTCCATTATAATAAGATTTTCCTCTTCAATAAAGTTTTGAACAATTCTTGCAGTGTGGGGCCTTTAGTCCAGGAAAGTTAGGAAAAATAGCGGAAATTTTTAGGGACAGCAGTTATCGAGATGCGGTTTTCTGCATTGTGTTCAGGAAGGTCCCAGGAAAAAAGTCTATATCGTCTGGTTTAGCCATTTTTTGAAAAATGCCTTCTGCCAATTGCATCATTACTTGCACCATTATAGGAACGACTGGAAATTTGAAAAAATCGCTCGAAAATCGTTACTCGGGGGGTTTTCGGGGCTGCCGAACTCGATTCTGGCCTTAAAATTACCCGTGGGTAGCTCTGTGGGGGTGCACAGGTGGTGAATTGGGGAGAAATGGTAGCGTGCATGACAATTGCTCCAAACTCGTTACTCGGGGGGTTTTCGAGGATGCCAAATTCAATTCTGGTATTGGAATTACCCGGGGGCGCTCGGTGGCAGCTCGGCGGGGGTATCCGGGGGTCATTCTGAGGAAGAAATTGCATAGTCCATGGGAAGCGCTCCAAACTCATAACTCCGGGAGTTTTAGGGGATGCCGAATCCAATTCTAGCATTAGATTTCCCCAAAGGCGCTCAGGGGTGGCTCTGTGGGGTTGCCTGGAGGTGATTGGGGGGGGGATGGCAGCGTCCATGAAAATCACTCCAAAATCGTTACTCGTGGATTTTCAGGGATGCCGAATTCAATTCTAGTACACCCAATAAAGGTCCAGAATCCATGAATCTTGATTACTTTAGCACTGTATTTACATATAACGAAAAAGCAACGTGGTCCTCAACAACAGATGTAATACTGATGCCACACAGACTCCGACTGCGCTCGGGAATTGGACGTATATTTTTTCTCTTCAGTCGATACAGAATATTTCTGTTCGCGCCAGTCCCCGTAATAACGATACTCTACTCTCTTTATAGCTTGGCACCTTTTTCAAATCCAGTTTTGAAGCAAAAAAGACTTCCAAATCAATTGTTTTTATAATATGTGTTATATTTATTTATTTAATATTCAATTAAAATTTTTATTATTCATACCCCCGGGTAATTCTTATGCAAGAATTGAGTTCGGCATCCCTGAAAACCCCCGAGTAACGAGTTTGGAGCGCTTCCCATGAACTATGCAATCCCCCCCCCCCCAAAATGACACCCGGATACCCCAGCAGAACCGCCCCCGAGCGCCCTTGGGTAATGCCAATGCCAGAATTAAATTCGGCATCCCCGAAAACCTTTGAGTAACATGTTTGGAGCGATTTTCATGCACGCTGTCATTTCTTCCCAATTCACGCCCAGTTCACCCCCACAGAGCCACCCTTGTGCACCTTCGGGTAATTCTAATGCCAGAATCGAGTTCGGCAGCTTCAAAAACCCCCTGAGTAACGATTTCCGAACGATTTTTCCGAGTTTCCAGTCGTTCCTATAATGGTGCAAGTAATGATGCAATTGGAAAATGCATTTTCCGGCCCAGAAGGCATTTTTCAAAAAATAGCTAAACCAGACGATATAGACTTTTTTCTGGGACCTTCCTGAACACAATGCAGAAAACCGCATCTCGATATCTGCTGTCTCTAAAAAATTCCGCTATTCCGGTCGATTTTGATCTAAATGCCCTGGACTACTTGCATTATCTTGTTGTAAAACAAAATTAGGACCTTCTAGATAAGCCAGTGGAACGACAATAGGTGCTAATATAACGCTTAGATGTAAGAGTGCCATTTTCAAAAACATGTACCCCCGTTCAATTGAATACCTCCCCAAACCATTACAGAACCACCGCCAAAAGCTCTTACTTCTCTTACATTGCAATCCAAAAATCGTCCTCCACGGCGTCTATAGACTCTCACACGTCCATCTTTGGAGTAAAGGCAAAATCTTGATTCATCCGTGAAATGGCTCCATTGATGAATATTCCAATTTACATGTTCTGCTGCAAAGTTTCTTCTTGCTCTACGATGAGCTGGTGTTAAATGAGGAACAATAGCTTGACTTCTTGAGTGTAGTTGAGCTTCATGAAGTCTGTTACGTGTAGTCTGTAGAGATATGCGTCTGCCAGTGGCCTGAAAATGTAAGTTTCTTATCTGTGTAGCTGTTCTTGTCCTATTTTGTAGGGAAAATCGTACAATTTGGCGGTCCTGTCGCAGCTTAGTTATTCTTTCTCGTGGTATATATGGTCTTCTACGGATAATGCCTATGTCGCACCCGTTACAGAAAAGTGTCATAACACAAAATTTTTCAAAAGGTTGTTTTCAGGGTATTATTATTGTTCTCATTGAGATCTGCCAATCAGTAAAACTGACACATTTCTAACTAGCATAGTTTCCGCGCTACGCGCTGATGTGACTGGTGGATTTTGCCGTTTCTGCGACCATCTTGCGCGGGAAGAGTGTGTTAAGTTAGTATGTGACTGACCATCGAGCAGTGAACAAGCGCCACCATGCCGCGAAACTGTCCCAATACAAAATATGACACTCTTCCTGATCGAGGTAAGTAATATAAACAGTCATAACCTAATGTTGTGACACATATCTTTCATGACAGCAAAATTTCAATACGCAAGAGTGGCCTATTATGTGATATGACAGTGTTTTTGAATATATAATCGGTATTTGATGAAATCTCTTATTTTCAAAGAGTCGTATTTTATTTTGTGACTGTTTTAATTATTGACTTTGGCAGTTCGATTGTTACCAAATAACGGATAATATTAAAGTAACATTTTACTCCGTTAATTGCACTGGCCAAAATAAAAATAAATATACAAATGCAATGTTTTTGTACGCTGTGCAGAAACTGCCTAACATAAAAACAATCAATCACAAATTCTTAATACGCGGCCACACACAAAATGAAGAGGATTCGGCACATTCCCTTATCGAAAAAGCCGTTAA